ACTGCTTCTGGTAATCCTTCTCATCCTTCTTCCTCTGTTCCAAATAGGGAAGGATCAGTTCAAGTTCATCAAGCAACTACTAGGCTTGTGACAAGAATACTAAGCGGAAACCAATCTGTACCGGGGATTTCTGTCCCATTAAATCAAGAATCAGCAAGCCCAAATGTGGATGTCTCTGAGTATGTAGATGTCTCTGAGAATGTTGTGACACAAAATGACAACATTCAGAACCCTTCAGAAAAGACTGCTGATCCACCTATCATTGATGTGGATGAGGAATACTCAGACAATGATCTGATTGCCAATGTAAACCCTAGCATAGCTAGGAGAATGATGAAAAGAAAGGGTAATCAGAATGATGCAAAATGTATGTCCAAAGATAAACCTGCTGTTAAGAAATCCAAGGCTGAAGGCAAGGCTGGGGTAGAATCTGTGAAAACTGGTCAGTCCAAAGGGAAGGTGAAAGCCCAGGTGTATACTGGTAGACAACCAATTACAAAGAAGAGAAAAGAACCTGAATCTTCCGATTCTGATGAGGAATCAGAGTTTGAGATTGATGCTGAAGAAATTCCTATCAGAAGGAAACTGCCCTCCAGCAAAATTGCTAGAGTTCCTGAAGTCCCAACAGACAACATCGCTTTTCACCATCCTGACAATGCAAACAGATGGAAGTATGTTTGCTTGAAGAGAATAGCTTTAGAAAGAGAGCTAAACAATGATGCCATGGAATGCAAGGACATCATGGACCTGATTAAGAATGCTGGACTGATGAAGACAGTGATAAAATTTACCAAGTGTTATGAAAATCTGGTCAAGGAGTTCATAGTTAACTTGTCTAATGAATGTGCTGATGGAAGGTCAGCTGACTTTGAAAGTGTTTATGTTAGAGGAAGAAGGGTTAATTTCTCTCCATCAGAAATTAACAAATTTCTTGGAAGATCAAATGAGGATTGTCCTGAACTGGAAGTCACTGACAATGAAGTTTGTCAAACCATCACAGCAAGACAAGTGAAGTGCTGGCCCTTGAAAGGCAAGCTGAATGCCAGCAAACTTAGCATGAAATTTGCCATCCTGCACAAGATTGGTGCAGCCAACTGGGTCCCTACAAACCATAAATCAACTATCTCCACAGGATTGGGGAGATTTATTTATGCTGTGGGAACCAAGACTGTTTTTGACTATGGCAGGTATATTTTTGAACAAACTTTAAAACATGCTGGTAGTTATGCTGTCAAAGGCCCAATTGCCTTTCCCTCCCTCCTTTGTGGAATTATCCTTGCATAATACCCTGATATCCTGGTGGCAAGAGATACTGCTTGCAAAAGAGCTCCTGCCCTTGGGTTGCACTACAAGCTGTTTCAGGGATCTCATGCTCCTGATATTGTCATAACATCAGCTGAGACATCTTCTGTGAAGACTCAGTCCAAAACATCTGATATTATAGCTGTATTAAAAGAGACCTGCAAAGAACTTGAAGCTAGGAAAAAGACCCTAGAAAACCTAATTGCCAGGTTAGAAAAGGAGGAATCTGAAGGAAACAGAAGGGAAGAGGGTGTAGAAGCTGAAGATCATCTCAATACTGAAGAAACTAGCTCCTCTGAGTCTGATGACAGTGCTTAAAGGTTGGTGGAGTTGCTGATTGGTGGAGTTGGTGCTGGTCCCTGGTAGAGTTTGGAAGTGTGTTCAGTTTTTAGTTGTTGTTCTTATTACTTTTTCTGGATGACTGTATAAATTTTAAGAACATGTATCTTTGGCCCATTTGTGGCTAAAGAGGGGGAGATATATTTTGGTACTTTATTAGACATTCTATTTTTCTGCAGTCATTTCTTTCTGCTGCTATCTATCTCTGATTGCTTAGGGTCTTTAGCCAAAAATCTGCCAAAGGGGGAGTTTGTAGTTGTTTAGTTATTGGCATGCATTTTTGGTAAAACCAGGTGTGTATGTGTGTGTGTGTGAATGTCATGACTGATGTCATAACATTCTAGTTTAGTATGTACTGATTCATTAGGTACCTTTGCAGAAAAATATTGTCATACAGGTGCTGCTGTTTATAAGTGTGTATCTGAGCATTTTGCAAAAAGATCACATTTACCTAAATCAGTAGACAGGTTTTCAGATGTCATAACAAATGTTAAGACATCCTATTCTGAACTAACAGTTATGCAGTTTGGGTAAGTCTGAGTTTTTTCAGGATTATGACTCAGTCTTTCCAGAACAGAAAATCTCGTGGACTTGGGGTTAACCTAGCTCAACCCTAACCTGGTTGATAAAGTCCTGTGACCTAGTCTTAAGGTCAAACGGAATTAACCCTAGCTTTTTGTGGAAACCCTAACTGAAGATGCAGCTGCTATATATTCAACAGAGTTGCTGTTTTGGAATTAATCCCTTTTTGACAGAAGATCATTTAGAAGCTGTATAGTTTTAACTATTGTAATCCAAGCAATTATCATTGTGATAAGTGACTTGGAATAGGTTTTAATTGTAAGGGTTGTGTATCACTCAAAGCTTTGAAGCAAGAGTGTTTGTATGTCTCTTGACTAAAGCTTTGAAGCAAAGTCAAGTTAGGTTTGTGTATCACTCAAAGCTGTGAAGCAAGAGTGTTTGTGTTGCTTGATTAAAAAGCTGTGAAGCATAATCAAGTGTATGTTTTGAAGAGTGTCTTCATCAATTCATTAGTCAAATTGTTTTATGTATCACTGCTGTGATTGAGGGGGAGTGAGTAGGAACTCGGGTTTAAGTTGTACTTAGATTGAAGTTGCATTGGGTAGGTCTTAAGTGAAGGAGATAAACTGGTTGGTTTATTCCTGAATTAATATCTCTTATAGTGGATTTCCTCCCTGGCTTGGTAGCCCCCAGAGTAGGTGTTGTTGCACACTGAACTGGGTAAACAATTGACTGTGTTCTTTACTATTTTCTTGTATTTACTGTCTTATAGAAAGTCAGATACGGTGTCATAACATTGAACGTGACATTGAGTATCTGCAGCCAGAATTTCAAAATTCAATCAAAAGCAAAAAAAAAAAAAGGTTCTTTGAAGACTTTGAATTATAGGAAATCGACCACACAAGCAGTCAACTGGAAGAGGTTTCATAAAAGGCCAATTCGGGCTTGTGGACGCAGTCGACCAGAAAAGAGGCCTCATGAAGAATGGATTGGGCCCGAGAGTGTTAAAAAGCCCAAAAGAGAGCATAATTAGCAAAGCAAAGCGTTGTGAATGGAGAACGTGGGTTCGATAACAGGGATGGAGAACATCAGTTCATGGAGGGAAGTTACAAGGGACACATGACTCATAAGGAAGCGAAACCCGCTGAAAAGTAGTTATGTTCATGTATTATAAATAAAGCACTTAGTGCATAGTGAGAAGGGTTCAAACTTTCACATTCCTACGTGCTATTCACTCAGAGTACCAAAGCGAACAAGCGAAATGAGTCAAGCAATGACGATGTATGTTTGAATCAACCTATTTTCAACTATTTTGATGTTATGTCATCTATTTTTACAATTTAAAACGTCTTTGTTTTATTTTACAATTCATGTTTTATTGTTTTTAAATTCGTTTCGCCTTAGTCGAACAAACTCTTTTGAACATACTTTGTGAAAACACTCGAAAACTAAAGCATTGTATTGTGATTCCTTGGTCGATCTCGTCAGTAAATTTTCTGTTAAGAGACCAGTATTGTTTACCAAAATCAGAGGTATACACTGTCATTTTCACTTTTCAATATAATAATAATAATTATTATTTTTTCAATTGTGTACAAAAACTTTAAACGACAGTCATTTTAAATCGGAGAAAATATATAATAATATTTTATTTTATTTTAATTTTAATAAATAATATGTCTTTTGATTGTTTTCAAATTATTTTAATTTAAGATTAACATTATCCAACTTTTTATATTAAATAAATAAGAATTCACTATTTTTTTATAAAAAAACACACCCTATATTACAAATAGACTTTTATGAAAAAAATTAATAAAAAATATATCATCTAAGAGAATATTATTTCGAGATGACCATCAATTAAATACTATGACAGAGTTTATTTATCAATCCTTAAATAGATAATATAATTACAAAAATGCTATAGTACATTCATATATTAAATCACTAAATATATATAATACAACTGTAAAATATTTTTACACTTTCACACTTTTAAGCCGTTAATCTCGATAGGGGAGTGTTATTGTGTCTAATATTGTAAATTAATCGTATATTAATGTTCTCTCTCTTATTTTTACATTTGATATATTTTTATGAATTCCAATAATATACTATTACATCTATAAATTATATTTACATATTTTTTTACATACTCAAATTTAAATATCAAAATATGATTTCTCATCTCCATATATGTATCTCAAATTTATCAAATGGGTGAATGATTCAAATTATGACCAAAATAACCCCAGACAATCCTGGTCCAATACATTTACACATCACAAACTCATACAACAAAAGAGTAAAGATTCCTTCTCCATTCTACAACTATTAATTTGACAGCTAGCCCAAAACTACTTCAGCAATATGATCCCCCTCTCTCTCTCTAGAATCCTAATCTTCTCTCTCTAGAAAGAGAGAGAGAGAGAAAAAGAGACTGCATTGATCAGTACATGGCTTATCAATGCTACTAATTATGAATGCCGTCGACCTAAAGTAACTGAACTGCCTCAACGCATTTCAATTCCTCATTAACACCATTCAATTATTATTATTTACACCCCCAACTACCATTAAATACACCCTACTCCTATTTCACTCCTTAGATCCTATCGGCTATAAATTAATAATCACAATTCACTTTTCAAATTTAACATTTCCCCCCTAATAATTTTCAATGGGTAAAACATATTCATACAAAAAAAACAAAAATAGAATATTATTCAATTCTCTTCCATAAAATAAAACACTAGTACAAATCAATCCCTTTCAATTTCATCAGCAACAATGCCAACAAAATTTAAAATTAAAAAAAAAAAAGAAAAAAAAAATCAAGATGCAGAATAAGGACCTGAACCCCTAGGAGAAGTCGTAGGAAAAAGAGGAAGCAAACGAGGTTCAGAATCTCTCGGAGTTGAAACTGGTGAAGGATGTAAAAAGAATCCTTTCTCTTTAATCGCTTTGTCTTCAGCTTCCGCGTTCAAGCAAGAGCTTCTAGTTGATCCGGATCGGTCAAACGGGTCGGGTATAAGAGGTGTAACCGGGCTGAGAACAAGGGAAGGAAAATCTAGGATACTAGGTGACAAGATCTCTTGTTTAGTACGAGGTGAGAAAGATGTGTTGTTGCTGTTGTTGTTGTTGTTGTTGTTGAAGTTGTTGATGTTGTTCGAGGTGGAGGAGAAAATGGGTAATAAAGGGTTGATGTTGAGGTTTTTATGAAGTGAGTTTCTTCTTTCGTAGAGTTTGAAACCAGATTGTTGTTGTTTTTTAGGTATGGAGTTGATTGGAGGAATGTTGTGGTTTGGTTTGGAAGAAGAAGAAGAAGCTTGTTTTGATGTTTCCGAGGAACCGGTTAACATTTGAACTACTTGTTTGAAAGAGGTTGTGTCTGCTTGAACGAACGTTGTTGGGTATGAGTTACCGGGTTCGGATCTTGTTATGGGTCTTGGGGAAGGGGTTTGAGTTTTGGGGGAAGGGAGAGAAGATGGTGACTTTTGATCTTCTTGGTATCTCATGGAAATGGAATCCATGGAAGAAAGGAATGAAGAAGAAAGAGAGAAGAAAAATGGTTATGAAGTAAAGAGTGTTAAATAGATTAGAGTAGAGTAGAGTGTAGAATAGAATAATGAGATGCGACTTTGGTTACATGGTTTTGTTTTGACATAACATGTCCCATAATCACATGTTTATATTAAAAAATTGTTTTCTAAATAAAATAATTCAAAAGATATTTATACGAATATTGAGTACTAGTTTTAGTTTTAGATGAAATAGTAATTCTTTTATCAATTTAGATGTATTACTATTACCATCTCTATTCCCTTTAGATTTTTTTGTAAATGACCCGGACAGATCGAATATAGTTTTTTTATGATAAATGTTAAATTATAAATTTAAAGTTTGTTTGATAGGATTAAAAAAAAGTTTTTAATTTTTAATTTTTAATTTCTTAATTTACATTAATAAAAAAAACTTTGTTGGTAAATGTCTTTTAACTTTTTATTACTCCCTCTATTTTATAATAAGTATCATCTTTTCTATTTTTAATGTTTTTTTAAAACTTATTTAAAATAGTTTTTAAATTTATAATTTTCAATCTTTTAACAAATATATATTTTAACCTTTCAATCTTTCAAGTTACGACACGAAAGATTGATGAAATATTTAATATTTTTAAGTAATATTTAAATTATATAATAAATTTTAAAATAATTAATTTTGATAATTCTCAAATTAGTTAAACGTTAAATGAGAATAAATCAATTCAACCAAAACGGATTTTTTGATAATATTATTACAGTTTTTTTATAAAATATTAGATAATAAATTGATTATTATTTTGAATTAATATAACTGAATTCAAAATTATAATATTATTATTTCATATATTTCAATTAGATTTTATTTTAAAATTTATATACAAATTTAATATATTTTTATGTTAATCTTTAATTTTTCATATATATTAAAATTATTTTATATTTTTTTATTAACATATTTATTTTTATCAAATAAAAATTAATTTAATAATATAACATAATAAAATAATGAATCATCAATTTTTAATTAAAAGATTCATTTATGTTATTTTGTATCTATCAACTACAGAAACAGAAATAGTGAATTTACCATATATTTATATTGACTTATCAACTATCTATTAGAAATTATCGGTTATTACTAATTAGTTTTATCAAACAAAATTCTAAATTCTAAATCTTAAATTTAGACGTAACACAACACTAAGAGTGTATTTGGATTATCGGTTGACATAATTGATTTTAACAGAATTGAGTTTGGTAGAATTGATTTTAAAAAAATTGAGTTTAGTATAATTAATTTATATTTGGATATATTTATGTAAAAGTGAACTAAACAGTAAATTTCAGTGTAAAAATCATCTAGAATCAATTTTAAAGGCAAAAACTATAAATTTTAACTTCAAATAGAATCAATTTTACTTTTCCTTAACCAAATATCAAAAAAATCATCGAAAATCAATTCTACATTTATAAAATTATATTTGATCTTTCCAAAAACCAAACTATCATACACTAAAATATTGAAGGCATATTGGACGGGTCTACAACACTAATCTTTTAAATATAATAGTTAAAAGTTGTAAAAAAATACTAATAAAATACGAATTTAAAATTTTGATTTGACCCAAAAAATTGTTAAAATAAATCCGTATGATTCAAATATTTTTTATAAATTTCATCATTTTTCCTTCACAAACCAATTTTACAAAATTGTATTAGGTTCAACTAGAGTTTAATTTTAAATTAACGTATTTATGTCAAAACTTTAGTAGTTATGTAGATTCATTTTAGTTGAGAATTAAATATCCTTTTGTACCAATTTTCTTTCATTAAATTAACCTCATTTAAAAAAAAATTGTTAAAATTAAAATACCATATGTTTTGAATTTAGGGTTGATATTCTCTTTGTGGAGTGTAGATGCTCCTACTAACTAGGTATGTATAATTGTGTAGCTAGTCTATGGAGAGATTAATACCATATCACTAGTACTACACTGTTTATTTGCCTAACATAACGTTACAAATTATGTTTTGTTTGTTTGTGAAGGAGTTAACCAATGTTTACATTCTTAACTATTCTTTAAACACCTAAGTTGACTAATCAAACTTCTCTCGTGACCTTTGCGTGTAATTTTGGAGAAAAACAAGTTCAAATGTATTCCTAGCTAAAACAATTTTAAAATCATTTTTGTAATCGAGAAAAAATTGAAATATTAGAAAAAAAAATTTTTTTTTTGAGATTTTGATTTTAAAATAAATTACTGTATTATTATTGATTTAATTTTTGTTAAGGATTTTGATGGATGGTTTTTAGATGTTTTTCGGAAATTAAGTTTTAGATTATTCATTTATTTTAAAGGTTTAAATACAGTTTTAGTTCTTTTATATTAATTTTTTTAACTTTTTTAATTTTTTTTAAAAATCAATTATTTAGTCTTTTTTGTTTGTCTCCCATTAGATTTATATAGATGAAATTGATTGACAATTCCATTTAGGTGGGTTTTAAACCCATGCTTTTAAAGAAAATGACAATGTCTTTTGCCATCCAAACCACATTACAATTATGATAATTTTACACATCAATTTATATCTACCATTAAAATAACATAATTGTAATGTGTGACGTGGTGTCAAATAGAATTGCCACATCACTGCTATCTATACAAATTTGATGGGAGATTAACAAAAATTTAATAGAGGATTAAATAGTTGGTTTTTTTAAAGGGTATTAAAAAGTTAAAAAATTAATATAGGATGATCAAAACTGCATTTAAGTTTATTTTAAATAATTGAAAAAACTTATGTGCATTTTTTATGTGTAGTTTATACTTTTTCTAATAAAAATATGATAAGTGTATAATTTTCTTCTACACATATGTAATTTCTTTCTATTTTTACTCCCTAAAAAATATTTAAGTATATTTGTCATATTTTTATTAGAGAAAAATATGAATTATATCTATAGAATTATATCTAATTCTTCTCCTTAAATAATTATTTACTTTATTTATTTTATTCTTTTAGTCTTGATAGTTGTATTTAAAGGTATTGTGCCTCATTTGAAAATTAATCAATTAACATTCAATAAATTATCTTCTTCCCCTCAAATTATCTCATTCAATATTATGTTCACTTAATCTCTCATTTGTATCAGATTCTATTCTAAATCATTATAATCCCTACTTTGAGACTATATTTTGTCGGTTCGTCAATAAAATTCATTTTCCCGTCTCAATTGGTATCTCGAACTTCGATTTGGCGCGTAAGAAGATTGTTAAATACAAACTAGTGATGAATCTTTTACTTTAGAGCAACAATTGTTGCATCATAAAAATATTCAGATAATAGTGATGTAAGAAGAAGAAATCAAACCAGAAATTGAGGTTGTTAGTGTTAACAACAAAGAACATATAAAAACATAGAAAAAGAAAAAGACCCTTTTAGCTTAGAATTTCAATAGAATGAGCAAAAACTAGAGAATTAGGATTACATCAAAATATAAATACTATATGCGAGGAAATACCAAACTACCCATACAAAGATATAGTAAAACAATATAATAATAATATTAATAATATCTAACATCTCCCCTCAAACTTAAGATGCATTAGTATGAAGCATCGAGAGTTTGTCAATCAAAAAAAGAAAACGTTTAATGGAATGTATCTTCGTAAATAAATCAGCAATCTGTAAAGCGAATGAGACAGATGGTAAAGTAATTATCCCTTGCCGAAGATGATGATGAGTGAAGTGACAATGAATCTCAATGTGTTTGATATGTTCATGAAAGACTGAGTTGTGGGCAATTTGAGTGGAACTCTTGTTATCACAATACATGGGAGCCAGTTCAGAAAGAATGACACTCATATCAGAAAGTAACCAACACAACTAAACTATTTCAGTAATGGTGGATGCCATATCATAATACTCAACTTCTGTAGATGAACGAGAGACAATATCTTATTTCTTACTCTTCCAAGAAATCAAAGAGTCTCTAAGAAAAATACAAAACCATGTGGTAGACTTACAATTTATAGGGTCGCCAGCCTAATTAGCACCAAAATAAGCACGTAGTTCCAATGAAGACGATAAGGGAAAGAGAAGGCTCTGAAACTGGGTTCCCCAAAGATGACGAAATATGCGAAAAACAGTTGCCCAATGCATTGTAGTAGGAGAGACAACAAACTGACTATGAACAACATAAGCAATATTTGGTCTAGTAATCGTAAGGTACACTAGGCTGCCAACCAAAGTACGATATAATGTGGGATCTGGCAAAGGAACACCATTAGATGGAACATATTTCACATTTAGAGAGACAGGTTTGTTCAAGAATGTTGGAAATATACTTGGATTGAGAAAGAAGATATCCTCTAGGAGAGTAGGCAATTTCAATGCCCAAGAAGTAACGAAGAGTGCCTAAGTCTTTCATCTCAAACTGTTTGGCTAATTGTAATTTCGAATCATTAATTCCATCCATATTGTCACCTGTAATAATCATATCATCAACATATAATGAGAGTAAAATACGACCATGATAAGTGGTCTTCAAAAACAAATCAGAATCAGGATCACTAGAACAAAAGCCAATAAATGTAATCATAGTGGTAAACTTCTCAAACCAAGCTCGTAGAGCTTATTTCAGATCGTATAGTGCTTTCTTCAACTTACACGTTTCTCCTTGATATGAGAAAAACCTTGTGGGGGTACCATATAAACTTCTTCTTGAAGATCACCATTTAGAAATGCATTTTTGAAACCCATTTGGGAAATATGACTTTGATGAACATATGCAACTGCAATAAGAGTGCAAATAGTAGTCATCTTAGCAACGGGAGCAAAAGTTTCTTCATAATCCATACCATATTGTTGAGAGAATTCATTAGAAACAAGATATGCTTTGTAGCATTCAATTGGACCATCAGACTTAGTTTTGATCTTGTATATCCAAACAAGACCCAATAACACATTTTCCACGAGGAAGATGTACTAATTCCCAAGTATCTATTTTATGCAAGGCAAAAAGTTATTATGTCACAGTCTGCTGCCAAAGGGGGTTGAGAATAGCCTCTTTGTAGGAAGAAGGCTCAGACAAATTATGGATAGAGGTTAGAAAAGAAGCAAAAGAAGCAGAGTAAGTTAAATAGACAAAACTAGGCAATTGAGTAGACTTATGGCCATGAGAGGGATAACGGGGAGGTGGAGGATCAACAACCACAGGAGGTTCTTGGAAAGTCGTGGGGACAAGAGGGATGTCAGCCTCTGGAGTAGTAGTAGTATCCGTTATGAAATTCTCAAAATCACAATCACTATAAACATTATCATTATGACCAAAAGGATCAATATGGGTGAGTTTTGAACTGCTAGTAATATGAGAATCAAAAGAAAAAGAGTAAAAAGGATTGTGTTCTAGGAAAGCAACATGATGGGAAACATACAATTTATTTGCACTAGGATCATAACAACTATAACCCTTTTGACCATCCTCATAACCAAGAAAGATACATAGAGCAGAACAAGCAGACAACTTACTACGTTCTACTTGTGGACGAAGAACAAAACAAGTAGAACCAAACACTTTCAAAGAGGAATAATCAGGGATAAAGTTATACAATTTTTCAAAGGGAGACAAACCTGGTGCGACTGGCGACAGGATTTTGTTAATAACATGAACAATAGTTAGAACTGCTTCACCCTAAAACTCGCTAGGAACCGAAGCAGACAACAAAAGAGAACGAGTTGTCTCAATAATGTGACGGTGTTTCCTTTTAGCAAGTCCATTATGTTGAGGAGTATCAGTACATGATGTTTGATGAATTGTACCATCAAAAGAAAGAAATTCAGAGAACTTATTAGAGGTATATTGACCACCTAAATCACAATGGAAGCACTTTATAACAACATTATGTTGAGTCTTAACCATAACATGAAACATACAGTAAATGTCAAAAAATTCAGAATGATTTTTCATAAGATAAACCCAACAATAACGAGTATAGTCATCAATAAAAGAAACATAATATTTAGATACACTCTTAGTAAGACACGATGATGGACCCCAAACATCAGAGTGAACTAAGTCAAATGATGCATATGAAATGGAAACACTTTTACTGAATGGTAAAGCTAAAAATTTAGCAAGTTTACAACCACAACAATCTGAAATATCACTGGTTTGTAACTTTCCGAAAGCTCCAGTAGAAGCCAAATACTTTAATCTAGAAGTAGAGACATGACCAAGTCGGTAATGCCATAAATAAAAACTAGAAGACGAAGAATTCAAACGAAAATAATTGTGGAACTAGAGGTTGAGGCTGCAGTATCTGGGACACTCAACTCATCCAAAACATAAAGTCCCCCTTGTCTACGGCCTATCCTAATCAGCCTCCCGGAATGAGGATCCTGCACACAACAAGAAGTGGAAGAAAACATAATTGAGTAACCAAAATCATACAATTGACTAACAGAAGCAAGACTCAAAGTGAGGTTAGGAATATAATAGACATTAGAAAATGATAAATTAGGTGTGAAGATAGAACCAATGCCTGCTAATGATGAGTGCCATTGACAGTTATAATTGACATAGATGGTGAAGTGTTCAAAGACACAAATGACTTAGCATCATATGACATATGGTGTGATACTCCAGAATCTAGAATCCACATGGAAGGAGATATACCTAACAAACAAGAAGAATGCAAACCTTTAACAGAGGAGGCAAACATGGCACATGACTGAGTTGCAAGAAGCTTTTGGAGCTGCTCTACAATATCATATATTTGAGTAGTCTCATATGGATATACATGATTAGAACCAGAGCCAATGGTAGTAAAAGCAGCAACAACGTTGGATGATGGACTCTTGAAATTTATCTTACTCACTTTCAACAATTTTGGACATTGTGCTTTCCAATGACCTTTCTACTTACAAAATGCACATTTATCAATACCAAACTCAACCCTACGTTGAGGTTTTCCTTTGTAAAATGGAGCAGTAAAAACAGATTGAGGAGTAGAGAGAACTCCTTTATTTGAAATCAAATTAGAGCGTGTCTTGAGTCTGGTTTCTTCTACCAATAATTCATTAAAAACTGAATCAACATTAGGAAGAGGATTATGATGCAGAATACCCCCACGAAGGTCCTCAAAATCATCCCTAAGTACCATCAAAAATTGAACCAAACATTGCTCTTCTCTTTGATCAGTGTACGCTTTGACAACTTTTAATTTAGCAGATTCTATAATAGCCAATTGATCCCACAAATTAGTCATCGATGAATAGAATTCTTGAATAGTCATATTATTCTGTTTGAGAGCTCTAATATCACTCTTCAGCTGATACTGTTTTGCAAAATTAGATTGAGCATACAAACATTTCAAATGGTCCCAAACCTCCTTAACAATATCATATTTTGCTAGTTGCACACCTATTAACAGAGAAACAAAATTATTGATCCAAGTAAGAACCTTCGAATTACTAACATCCCATATTTCCAACTCTTTTGCATATTTTGCTTCATCCTTTTTTCTCTGTGGGTTTAACCGAGATTCCATCAACATAATTCCACATCCTTTTTCCTTTCAATTTTTTTCATTACATAACTCCAATAGGGATAATTTTCTCCAATAAGTTGGACACTAATAGACTGAAGAGAATCATATTTATTATTACTCATAGTACTCAATTATGAGATGACCAAAACACCACAATTAAACAAAATATTAAATAATATTGACCCTAAAAAAACCACCTTCTCCAAATTTTGTTGGATGATGGCCTTCTTCCAATTTTGTTAATTATTGTACTTCCAATAAACTATAAGGAGATATAGTGCTTGTAAGGCATTCACGTGATGCACAAAATTGGATGTGGAAATAGAATGAACAGTAACAACCCTTTTCTAAATTAGCCAACACTCTAGTTAACGAAGACAGGTGTCATAAACTCCAATTAAATAACACTAAAGTCAATACTCCAATTGATCAATAGATAGCTATTGTCCAATCAATTGAAAATATATGAACGACAGTTTTTGAAACCAAACCAAACTCTTTGATACCATGCTAACAACAATGAACATATAAAAACATAGAAAATAAAAAAAATACCCTTTAGCTTAGGATTTCGATAGAGTGAGTAAAAACTAGAGAATTAGGATTACACCAAAGTATAAATACTATATGCTAGGAAATACCAAACTACCCCTACAAAGATATAATAAAACAATATATGCTTAATTGCAACTTTGATCCCCATATTTAGCTTTTTTTCTTGATTTTGATTCCCTCATTTTAAAAATCACCATTTTAGTTCCCTTTTTCAAGTTTTATTTTGAATTTTTATCCCCTCATTGTCCATTTTTTAAGTTTTAAGTTGCAATTTTAGTCATCTTTCTAATTCTGATGATGATGAAAAAGAGACCAAAATTCAAAATAAAACTTAAAAAGGGGACTAAAATTACAACTTAAAACTTAAAAAAGGGACTAAAATCATGGTTTTTAAAACGAGGGGACGGAAATTCAAAAGAAAACTTAAAAAAGGGACTAAAATGGTGGTTTTTAAAATAGGGGGATCAAAATCAAGAAAAAAGATAAATAGGAGCACCAAATTTGTAACTAAGCCAACAATGTAATAATAATACTAATATCTAAAATTTAGTAATGAGTGGGCATAAGAGAAATGGTGAATTAGGTACTTTGAAATATTTTCGATTTTATAGATGAGTGTTGTTATTTTTCTGGTTTATGGTTATGTAATAAAAGCAATAAAGTGTAAAAAATAAAGAACACAAAGGAGTTTATCCTAGTTCCTCTCACAGAGAGTACGTCTAGTCCCCTTACAACATGTAAGAGATTTAAATAGTATTAGAACTTTGTACAAGTCAAAACTAGACTTCTAGACACAAGATTCCAACCAATCACTAATGGTACAAAATCAAAAAATGTTTGAATATGAAAATGCATGAAAAATTTCATTGGTTCAGTGGTAACCGATTGAAACAACCAGTGGAACAAATCATTGAGATGAAATCAATAAAGTCGCCACCGAATGTTTTTATCCCACGGAAAGGGAAAGGTAAACCCCGAGTAAATATGAGAAGGGTGAAATCATGATAAAACGACCAAGAGATACGAGTAAGGGAGTCGATTATGCAAGGGGAAGGTATTAGCACCCCTCACGTCTGTGGTACTCCACGGGATCCACTATAGTTGTTCTGATCAAAGGGTGTGTTCAAATCTAATGTTTACGAGCTAAAAGGAAAAATGCAAAGAGGGAATGCATTTAAAAGAAAACACGGGGAAAAGAAGTAAATATTTACAAAGTTTCGCTCGGCAGAGCCCCGTGATCAGATGCATACGTATCCTTTTTAAGGAATTAGTGCGTCGTAGTTTGGCTCACATGTTTTGATTTGTTTTGTGTTTTTTAATTGAATAATGTTAAGTTTTGCATTCTACCTGCAGCTCGACCTTTAGAGACTCATGCATATGAAGTATAAAGGAACTAACATGCTCTTTTGAAAGTTTGAAAGAAAAGCCCGAAGGTGAAAAAAAGAGTTTGCATTGTTTATGTTTTTTACCTTAAAAAAGGATTTGAGAATTTTTAAATGTTTTATGCATTTACTAAGAAAAAGGTTTTAGTCTTAAGGATGCAAAAAGAAAGAAAACAACTAAGGGAGACTATCTAGCTCTATCCCTAATGTTATCATACAATGATGGTCCTAAGATCGAATTCAAAAGGGAAATCTCTACCTATGTTAGCATGCATGGATTATGATCATAATGTCTAACTTGCATCAGAAACAAAACAATTTAATCTTAAGGGAGCATAAAATGGTTCAAAACCTAAATAAACACTCACACAAGTGCGAACACATAAAGTCGAAATCAAAACAAAAAAGCGCACAAGCTTGAGGAGTGTCCACTCACTCAAGTAGCACATACATAACCGAGGCATCATGGCACCAAGGTAGAATAAGGAGAGGAATGGCTAACCACGATATCGTATCATTGAGTTAGGACAAAGGAAGTGGGGCACCTAACCATGATATTGAATCATCAAGGTAGGATAAAGGGATGCTTAGTCAAGACATCGGTCTGTCGAGACAAGCGCAATGGGGAATATTGGTTCTTAATAGTGATATCAACTTATCAGGGCAAGAAAGAAAGGGATGTTAACTCTTAACCAAGATATTAAGCAATCGAGGCAAGATAAAAACAAAAGTGAATTTTCATAAGCGACTAAACACCTAACCAAGATATAATAAATCGAGATAAGCGATAAAAGGCAATAATAAGATCATATCAAAGCATCAACGTTTCATAAATGTGAGCTAAAGACAAAGTGTGGGGGATTGGTTACAGATTCCTTTTCCATCTGAACGACTCGATAACATGAGTAGAACAGTTCAAAGCATCAACGCATGGCACGAGCTAGGAATGACACAGACAAGAAATGGCAGGGTCGATTGCTGACCCTCTTTCGCTTATGCCTCCTTTTGAAGACTTATCAATGAAGAATGGGAATGGGATGCCTTCATCGAGGTTTTAGGCACAAATGTAAACACACAAAATAGTAAACAAGCACAAATAAGAATTGCCTTAAACATGTCTTAAAATAAATCAGATTTTCCTCAAAGGGACTCCTAGAATATGCATCTCTATCCTAATTCTCATGGCAAGTAAAGCGGAGGGAACATAAATCAGTATCAGCGTAATACGAAATGAACAAGAGTTTGTAGCAAGCAAGAAAAAGCAGAAATACTCCGAAAAACTTCGTGCAAGCTAGCATTAACAACACAATAGTCAAAATATGGGTTGATCAATAAAGCACAACATGAATGTGTGTCAGACACATCTGCGATAAATAGAACACCTACACACAAATTCACATCCAGACAAAAATACAAACAATGCATATTTCTCATAAAATGAGAATCAAGGGGAATCACATCGGAAACAAATCCACAAATCAAATGATTTTCAATCAAATAACCAACACTTTAGTGACATGATTGAAAAATCTCACAAATTACCTTGCACAAGTCAACAAAACACATTAGTGATAACAAGAAACCCCAATACGAGTTATGCATTCTCAACACAATTTAATTTATGATTAAATCATGAATAAGTAGAAATTAAATGCATATTGGAAGCACAAAACAAACTCCGGGCAGCATTGCGTCGTGAGCATGAGTGCACAAAAAGTCAGAACAAAATCGCATAAAAGTAATATGGTAGCATCCAAACATACCAACAAGATCAACTACGTATCAACCATGAATTAAATCCAAGTGTGAGTGCAACTTACCATTCCCGGGCAGCAACACCGTAAACATGTAAATCGTGCAAAATTTCAATCTGAAGTCGAGAAAACTCAACACAAACATCCTCCAAGTACCAAAACCAAGTTCCATGAGAATTAACCATCAATTAAATGTCACCTTATGCTCAACTTACCATATCTGGGAAGCATTGCGTCTTAACAAATAAGTGCTCAGAAAAATGTGTCAGAAACGGTAAAACTCAACCGTAATGGTCCATAAACGCGCAAGCAAGCATGAATATGCATTAAACAACAATTAAGAAACCATTTGCAAGGTACTTAGAATTTTCGGGTAGTAACATACACTTGAACTAGAATTAACCAAAATTGGATTTAAACATCATAAACGGATGTGCAAAAACATCTACCGATTCAAGTATTGTCACATGGAAATTGTAAACACTTTGCAACAATTAAAATCCATATAACTCAAGTAAAAAACAACATAATTCAAGCGTTAATGCAACTTATAGAATTGGAAGTTTTAATGTCAAAGAATCAAATTCCTCAACAAATTGATTTGAAAAGTTGCATTAACTCATGAATTACAACTCAAATCTCATCGAAATTCCATAATCGATACGTACATCAAAAATTCAGTGTTTAAAAATCAACATCAATTTATCGAATAAAAATCAAGATCTATATCGATTATGTAATTTCTCAACCAATTCTGTATTTCAACATTATCACAAGCTCATGAATCAAATATCTCAAGTAACTTCCACAATTCAATTTACATTATGTCAACTCAATTCAATCTCAACAAACAAGTACAATTCAAGAATTTCAACTCAAATTAATCTCAATTCAAATAATCAATTATGTAATAAGAAATTAAGTGCAAGATATTATGTGAAATTACCGAATAAAAGCAAATCAAAGAAGAGGAAGTGGAGATGTTGCCTAAAAACTCGAGCAAAGCAGAGGGAAATTTGCGGTTGGAAGTTGCACTAAGGAGGGAGTATGACGCGGACTGCAATCATAGGGCGGAGGTCGTAAAATCACCCATGATTTCACGATGGAGGGAAGCTAGGCCGCGAGTTTGCAGTTTTTTCTGGAAAGAATCCAATGGCTTGGCGATGGACCGGTGGCGGCGGTGGATCGATAGTGGCTTCAGTCGCTGGAGGGAGAAGAGAAGAAGATTTGAAGTTTTATGAGTTTTGGATCTTGAGGTTGTTGAATATTGTTGATGTGCTATTGAGAAAAATTAAATAAAAGTTGAATTTGATTCTTGAGAGATTAGAGAGAGATTTGTGAGAAGTTTGTGAGAGTGGGTCAAGATATGAGAGAAAATCTAAATTTTAAAATATATCTTCCCTCCAATTGGGCCTTGAACTTGAATTTATA